AGTTGCTTGCTCATGTTTCATTATTTCTTTTTCCATGGATAGTTAATTTTTAATTTTTTACTTTATGTGGGGGGAAAAAAAGTTCTTATGGAGGACAGCCCGTTTGCACTAGGCTGTGCCTCAGAGGTAAGTGACTGTCTCAACTTTTAGTAATGCAGGTCCACTTCTGGTAAGGTGAGAAGTAATAAATTTAAAGTGAATTTAAGTTTATTTTTAGCAAACACCTTTTGATAGTTGCTTCCTCCATGTTAAATTCTATATCTTAACTTGGGCTGGAAAGGGCAACAAAGTTGGGCTGGAAAGGGCAACAAAGTTAGTCTGGAGCAGGTTTGGACTGGGTGGTGGTGAGGGGAATTCCCTCCTCAAACACACTGTGCAGTGATGGCCTTGGCTTGTGGTGGAGAGATTGCCCACCCTGGGGAAGGGCTTCACCTGCCAGGTGCTGCACAGTGACTGAGAGGTTATGAAGGGCAGCAATCTAGATTATTCCATAGAAACTTGCAAGTGGAGTTTAGAAGAGCAAATGATATTATCTTAGGGTTAATAATTACAGGGTAATATTACCATTGGGCTCCCTTTTGTGTTTGCTGTTCCCAGGTCGTTCATAGAGCTTATCACTGATTGCCTAACCCTAAAACTGATTATGCAATTTATATATGTAAGTTATAAATGATAAGCATTAATGCAGAATATAAACTTGTGAGGAGTGGTGGACGTTTCCTTTGAGTCCCTGTTGTTTGGATGATGATACACAGCGGGATAATGGGGTGAAGCCTTTTGGAGCAGTGTGTCCTCAGGGGCTGCAGCTGTGAACTGGAGCCCTAAGCAACCAAGCTGAAATGTGAACAAAGCTGCAGTTCAGAGTCATTCCTGTCCTGCAAAGGTCCTTCCCCAGTATGACAGCTACTGAGAGAGAACTAGGAAGTAATGCTGGGCTGAAAGGCATACATGGAGGTTTCAGCTGGCAATAATAATAATAAAAAAGCCCTATTATCCTGTTTGCTGCTCATCAGTTAAGCTAAAAACTGTAACTATTTCACTTGAAGTGCATCTATATGATATTTCTGCTGCTGGCTCAGGGCACCGTGGGTGCTAGTTTATATTATGGTGACACATCTACCAACAAGACTCAGTAAAATTAACTGCTGAAACAAAACACGTTGAAACAAAGTTAAAAAAAATACGTTCAAAATACATTGAAAATCTCAGGGTTTTTTCCATTCATAAAACTTTGCCACTGAATTTCCTTCTGCTTACTTTTATGTTCCTGCTTTGTCAGGGGCTTTTCCTCCATACCTTGTTGCAGAAACTGATTGAATCAAGACTTTAGAAACATGGGGAGATTTTTAACCAGGTTTAATCAATTTTCTGTTTAAGCCCACTTCAAACTTTTATTTTTTCTTAGCTGTAGACCAGTGATTAATCTCATGCATTTCTCCTGGGCAAACAGGCATGTCCTGTGTCCTGTTAGAGGGGACAGATCCTTGCTGCTCTCCCATGGACCCCCGTGCTGGGATACCTGTGTGAAGGTGAAGGTGTTCCTGGTCATCTCTCCATCCGCTTGTGCTCCAGCCCGGGTTTCTCTGTAATGCTGAGGGTAAGGCTGTGAAGTGCTGCAGAAGGATGGAAGGCTTGAGAACTGTGTTCAGAGGGTGGCAGTGGGGGCAGCATGCCTCACAGCCTGTGCTGCAATAGCTGCCCTGGCTCTGGCCAGGAGAGGGTGAATGGTCGGTGCCCTCCTGGCTCCAGTGATCATGGGTGGCAGCTCAGGCTGCAGCAGGGGCAGCTGCTCTGGGTGAGGGGCTTGTCACCCCTTGCTTTGTCTGTTAGCCCCCTGGTGCTACAGTCGGTAGTGCTGTCCCTGAACTGTCCTTATCTCAACCCCGGGGCTTCTTGGTTTGTTTTCCTCCTGGTGCTAAGGGGTGGCAGAGGAGGGGGAGCAGTGGGCAGCAGCTGCTGGGGTTTAGCTGCCAGCCGAGGCCGGGCCAGTGGCAAGGCTGTGGGAGGTAGCAGGGGCTCAGGCTGAGCAGGCAGCAGGGGGGGTGAGCCCAGCTGCAGGGCAGCAGCAGCTGCTCTCCAGAACGACAGAGAGTGTGCCCCTAAATCCTTGAGGTGGGATTCCTCTGGAGGTGGGGGTGGCAGTTCTGGTACTTGGCTGCTTTGTGTGAGTATTTTTAACACGACCCTGCTGTGCCTGCCAGAGTGGTGGTGGTACACACGTGTGGGTGAAGCTGAGCACTACTTGTGCCAGGGCTGTGGTGAGAGGAACACTGAGTGTCTGCAGAAACCTGGCTCGCTGGAGTCAGTGTCAGCAGTGAGAGAGAGCAGTGCTCTTTTAGGGGTGTGTGAGACCTTTGCTAGCTCATCCTGTAGTAGTTCTGTAGTGACTGAGCAGCTCTAATGGTGCAGAAGGAGAAGGAAGTTTTCTAGTGTGCTCCTCTGTTGCCAGTGTTGGCTGTACAGGGAGAGGAGAGATGGAGGTGTGGTTTTACTGCAGTGTGTAGGTAACCACACCAGGGAGGTGTGCTGAGGGACTGGAGAGGTTTTTCTAACGGGGGCCTGAGGCTTCTGTGCATTTGGGTCTCAGGTTTGTTCCTTTGGCTAGAGCAGAAGCTGGGTACTGGTTTACTCCTCTTGGCATTATAAAATCAATTACACCCCAAAAGAAGTAGTCGGTGCTGTTCTCTCTGTGCAGTCTGTTTCTGGCTGCCCTCACAGTTGCTTGCCAGTTCATCACAAGCTGACAGTGTGTGCTGTTAGCATGCAGCTCAGATTTGCTGATCCTCTTGAGTTTTCCTTTTTTGTTTTTTATTTTTAAGATGTATGTAGCTGTCCTGAACCGTGTAGATTTCCTTGTTTTGTAGGTCAGTTGGATGTTAGGTCTTGCTCTGTTGCTGGTGTTTTCTTTCCTGTTCTGACAACAGAGCTGCTGAGCATCCCTAGAAGAGGAGCCTGTTCTGTTCTTCCTCAGGCTTCCTTTGGAGAGCAGCAGAGACCTGTGCTGGCAGCACCCTGCTGGCTGTTCCAGTGATTTCCCATGTGGGAGATCAGGGGAAATTATGTAAATGAAAGCACTAAGCTAATCTTTCTGTGTCTTCTCAAAGAGTAAGACAGATAGCCATGTGGCCTCTGGTGTGATTTATCTAAGAACCCAAAAAATCTCTGGAAAGTGTGGTCTCAAGGGCCAGGAGATAAGGATGGGAGGACTTCAGAGGAGCTCAGGATTCCGTCTGTTTGTTTCAGCGATTCTGCCATTGTGTTCTTGAAGACCTGACAGGGGTAAAAAACCAAGCAACCAACCAGCAAAACCCCTTGGAAGAACCAGGGTTATTAATATGACTGCGTGATGTTTTTCTGATTTTCTTCTTGAGAACCTCAACTCTCTTCCCCTTCCCCTCTCCCCCTCCCCCTCCTTTCCATGTGGGTAATGTTCTCTCTGGCGTAGCCTCTCGTTTTGTGCTCTTTCCTCCTTGTGGCTGAAGCGGGTGTGGAGATCCCCCCAGTTAGTGGTGAGGTCTCTGAAACTCCTGGGAGCAGCTCTGAGGCAGCTGTGGGTGGGGAGAGCAGGGTGCCCCCCGTGTGGTGCCTGTGGGAGGGCCAGCAGTGCCCAGGGCAGTTCATCACCTCCAGCCCAGCTCCACAGAGCGCCCTGTCAGCCGCCAGGCTTGCCAGCAGACACCTGCCTGGCCTGTGTTGGG